AATTTGAAAAACAATTGAAAAGATTCTGAGTATGTCCTAAAGATTATTTTGAGAGAGAAGAGACAATTGAAATGATCGGAGTAATCCGAGAGATATATGTGAGAAATCAATTAATTATAATTAATTGTATTGAGTTAGAAATGAGAATGATCCATGTCCAAATGATATGTGTTAATGTCTATATTTTCTCAGTGATTAGGAACCTAAACTAGCCCAACCATTTAATCATGACCGCCGCCTTTACCAGGTAGGGTTACATAATTTTCAGTTCATTCAAAAGCTAGACATTAAGACATCAATCTGTGAATAATTGAAGGCTAGAAGTTAGGGCTTTTGAAGGGAATGACCGGTGTAAAGGTGAAAAGTAACCCGCCCGGCCCGGCCCGCGGCGGGTTACATGTTTTGGCGGGCTGGGCTCAACCGCCCGCAACAAAGGCGGGCCGGGTTAGGCCGCCCAATTAAGGAAAGTTGCCTGGCCCAGCCCGGCCCGCCAGCCCTAACCGCCGGGTTAGGCACGGTCCGGGGGTTAGCCGATTTTTTTTTTTTTTTGTGTTTTTTTTTTGTTTTTGTTTTAATTCATCTTTTCAAATAAAATTATAAAATAATTGTTTTTAGTTAACTTTCAAATATCAATAATTCAATTCAATTCAAATTTTTTTTTGTTAACATTTCAAATATTAATTCAATTTAATAAATAAAATTGTAATATAAGAAAAATTAGAACTTATTCATTTATCAAAAATAAAATAAGAAATTACAAACATTATTGCCTGTTAAAAACCTCACCAAGAAAAACCAATGGGAGAAAAACTTGTTAAAGAAAAAAGAGTGCAATAATTGACAATTAATTTACAATACATTTTAAAAACAACTAAATTGGGGGTGGTTCACTAGGAACTCCCTCATCTGTATCATCTATATTACAAAATTGAAATGTTTCTAATAAAGCATTGTCGATAACCTCGTATTGATCTTGATGGCGCGATCGTTCCAATCTCGAAGACATGTGAGGACTTCAATCATTTTTGGAGCAAGTTTAGTCCTCCTTTCATTTAAAAATCCTTCCACTTGCACTAAATGTTTGTTGGATAAGACGGTTGAGACAGGAACAGCGAAAACATCCAAGGCAAGTCTTGATAATACCGGAAAAATACATTTTCTGGCTCTCCAATAACTCTAAGAGATCAAGTGACCGTTGAAAACATTTCGGGGGTTGCCAAAATGTTGAAGTTCATTACTCGCGACTCCATGGAGGACAGCATATTAGTTGTTGTGTTGTTGGTGGTGTTGCGTCTGAAGAGGAGGCTGTGCTTCGGACTCGGTTCTGCGCTATTCAGTGCATTCCAAGAGAATAGTCTTCTTTGTTTCTTCTGCTACAGCTTCTCTGATATTTCGCCTCTTTGCGACTGCGGGTTCCCATACCTGTTTTCATATTGGAAATATACTTCGAAAGACTATTTTTTACCTCTCTATTTGATTGATATATGATTGTTTGTAAATTTTCACTTAAATGTCAAGACCATTTCTAAAAACGTGCTAATTTATTCTAGGATCAAATATGCACCAAACAATAAAGAAAGGAACGGGTCTCCAATATTTCAAAAAAAAATTTTCCATTGCTTTTATGGTGCATGAAAATTTCATCATCTTTGTTTTTTTGTAAATAACTCGGAAATTTTTATAATTGCATGTATTACCAATGGACTAGTAGGGTAAAACACCAGAAAGTTGTAAAGTGGCTGGTAAAAACATTTGAGAAAAGAATGAAATACTTTAGCTATCTAATCATTTTCTACCAAAAGATGGGACCTCTATTATTTGCTACAAAATAAATATTATATAGCATAAGGTAAACCTGAATCAAGCATTAAATAAGTACTATTCCATCACAGGCATATCTAATGCAAAGTTCTAGGAGCATATGTTGATTTTATAAAGCTTCTTGAATTCAGCATTTCTTTTATTACTACTAGTAATCCAAGCTAAAGATCCCTTTCTATAATATTTTTTTAATTGTTTTCTACCACTTTTCACAATTAAATAATAACTGACATGCACAACGTTGGTGAAAAAAACTTCAAATTATTATATAAAGATAATTATTTTGAAAAAATTCTATAGCTTTACTATTAGAACTTGCATTTCTAAAGTAAAACTTATCACTTTATCAAAATATCATAATCTTCTAAAACTTCAATAATTTTATTATAGATTTCTAAACCACTATGATCCACATCCATTAATCTAAATCCTAATAAAGTTATTTAATTTAAATTCATTATCAAATAATGACTAGTCACAAAATAATCTTGTTTAGCTCTACCACTCCAAATATCAGCGTTAAAGCCACACTAATATGACAAGTATGAAATTTATTTTTTAATTCTAATTTCATTTTTTTAAACAATTTTATTAAATCATTTCTAGTTGCAGTTAGAATAACTTTTAAATCCTGGAAAAAATGAATTTTGAACAAATCTTTCAAAATATTTATCTTCTGCCATATTAATAGGTTGATCAGATGCAGCAATATATAAAGCTAACTGTTCCCTATATACATCAGAATTATAACGCCCAAGTACTACCCATATTAGTTATTGAGTTTGATTGCTTTCTCTATTTCCATGGTGATAATATGTTTATTAGCATGCCTTTTTAAGTACTAGTACATACCTGAATCAGCTTTATAAACATTTGACAAATTTGCATCTTGTTTCTTGACTGAACGCCATTTTCTGTCTCGAAACTGGTCGAAATGCGCCCAAACGTCTGATGTGTGTGTTTTCGCTTTCGACGGCAGTTGATGATACGCCTCAGCTTGAGATGAAGTTGGACAGGACGACGATTACGAGGACGACTCTTAGAACCACCGGCGCTGTTGGAATCGACGGCATATTTTGAGGTGTATCGGTTCGAGACTGGGATTGGGACAGCGGGACTATTGAATCTCCTGCATTCATAGTAAAATCAGCGGGACAGGACTAGGATAATAGTTTTCTTCCTCATTGAAATTGATGGGAGAGAAATATCTATCCATTGTAGACTTGTAGTTGAAAAAAAAATGATGTAGAAGAAATAAAAATTAAAGAAAGAGATTTGGAATAGAAATTGGAATATGAATTGAAAATTGCAAAACCTATATAAAAATTAAAATAAGAGCAAATTGATAACAAAAATATTAAGAGAATAAATGAATAATTGAGACTGAGAGTTGAGAGAATAGAGAATATGAGAAAATGAGAGAATTTGAGTTGTGAGAAATATGAGAGTTTAGGTCCAATTATAGAAAAAAATAGGGAAAGAAAATGACGAAAAAGACCCCTCAACGGCTATAAAAGGCTAGATTTCAAGGGTAAAAGTGTAATTGAAAAAAATAAAAAATATTAAACAAATTTTTTTTTTTTTTTGGGCCAACCCGCCAGCAACGCCGGGTTGCGGGCTCTTCCAAAGAGGCCAATTAGCAACCGGCGGGCCGCCGGGTTACCATTGTGTAACCCGGCCCCCGGGGTGGCTGGCGGGTTGGGCTCAACCGGCCCGCCATGAAGGCGGGCCGGTTTGATCTTTTTTACGGGCGGGTTAGGGTTAGCGTCTAACCCGGCCCATAATTTCACCTCTAGACGGTGAGTGAATGGTGACAACGGTGTCAATTTCTGGTGATTAATCAATTGGAAATCGCAAAATAGCGTTGCCAGAAATCGCAAACAAAAGCTCGCTGTCTCAGGTGACTGGGGAGGCGAACAGGGGAAAGGGTGAGATGATTTTGGTCAAGAGGCTGAGGGGAGTGTTTTTCATAGTGATAGAGTGTTGTCGTCGTCAGAACAAGACTCTATTTAACGATGCCGACGGTGGTGTTTGAGGTGTTTTTTGTAAGATTTCAAACATGTGAGGAGTCAGTAATTTTTAGGGGTGATTTTTTTAGATTTCAAACCTTTAGACAAGGTTTGTGACACGTCGTCAAACCGGTTAAACTACTCGACCCATGACCGGTGGGCCTGGCGGGGTATTGCACGAGTCGGTTTCAATCACTGTTTCTTCCCATATTCGCATGGCAAAACATGGACAAGAACTTACTCAATTCCAAGTTTCCCTTAAGAACTGTGCGGCCTCAGCGTAATATTAGTTCGAAGTCAGCTTTAACCTTCCAAATCAAAAGTTGGAACTGCGTAGAACAAGGAATTGTGATGAAAGAATTTTTTATTGATAAACAAGTTCTGGTACAATAATTTGTGGCACAATGCACACCTATGACGAGAGAGAACCCAAGATTGTTAAACCAAAACCAAAGTGGGTTAGAGGCCCATTTCTACAGTCTACATGATCAAAACAAAAAACTCATGAGCTCTATGGAGGCATCCTATATACAGTAAGGAACATCTTAGTCGCAATTACGACAGTAGCGATTGAATCAGGATTGTAATGACTGCAATGCAAGTCCACAGAAGCCGGGAATAAGTTATAGCTCTTCGGTGGTCGTCTTCTGATGTGTACTGCAAATGCTGGGAAACCGCCGTCATACAGTCCCGAGTTTTTCTAATTCTAAGCCAGCAAGTTTCCGAATCCCTCATCAGAAATCAGAAGCGTATGGGAAAGTTTGGGTCATAAGGGAGAGTCTCTCCACCAACGGGTTTGAGCCTTTAGGTGTGAAACTCTTATCTCGTATCTAGTATTAGAGCAAACTCGATCCCTTTTCAGGTGCTGTCAAAGGCGCCCCAAGCAGTAGGGACATCATCCACGTGTAATAGTAGATCCACTCCAGAGTGAGATGGATAGGTAGGCAGGAGACCCCACCTGTGACTAGGGCGTCACAAGATTAGGTGGGGGAGAATGTCTTTCGTTTTCCCGCCAAGAGGCATATTCCTATCTTGTTGACACTTATATTCCTGTTATTAAAGATTATAAAGCTTTTGCATAACTACCAAGTATTGATAGGATTGAGAAAAACCCAAACACCCTAATAATTATGGTATATAGAATTCAATCTATAAGTATGCTATAGACAACAGCACTGGGCACTCTTATTTTTCCTCCCTCATGGCTCAATTGCTTTGTTTTAAATATCCATTTAGTATTCATATTTCTGCAGCAGCAAACAGGTACATATTTTTATGATGACTACATATTTGCTTTTTTCTTCATATTAGAGATTTTTCCATATACTATTTTACAGATCATCATGGTAAAGGAAAGCCTCTAGAGAATTTCTCTTCTTACAACCCCAACGGCATTTCCAAGAACACAAGTGGTTGAAGATGGCAACTCTTGTTGAATGAAGAGATATAATGTTTGACGTCGAAGGAGATTTTGAAAGAACAATTGCATACCCATCATCCATGTAGTCAGTACCATCAGGGAACAGCTGCCACAAAAGACTCCCAGCCCCACTGCCTCCGTTCTTTGTTGAGTTTAAGAGAGTCTTGTACACTGTAGTAATAAGCGTGTCTCGGTATGATGAGTTGTAGCCGGGATCTTTTGTAGATACACCAAACTCAGCAAACACAACAGGCATTCCCAGATATTTCTCAGCATCCTCTATGTGGGCTTCCATCCATGATTTGGTGAATTGGATATGAGCATCAGATATTGTTGGGGAAATCCTTCATCAGCAAATTCAGTTGAGTTAACAGAAGTTGTGATTATAGAGCGTGCGGGCACAGCCCAAACTTTTTTTTACACGGCACGAAAATTTCGTGCCATGACCTGTGGGCCATGCCGTGGGCTTAGGATTTGACACCTGGGTTGGCACTGCACGGCCCATGAATTTAAAAAAAATAAAAAATTTTAAATTTTTTGAGAAAAGCCTATGCGGCATGTGGGTCGGCCCACAAAGGCACAGCAAGGCCCATCGGGCCATGGGCTGTGCCATGGGCCTTGAGTTTTGGTTGTCTGGCATGACATAGTGGGCCGTGAAAATTTTGGCCCGGCACAGCCCACCGCCGCCTCTAGTTATGATAGTGATAGTGCACACAAGGACTCAATTCTGTATTATAATATACTATTGCCTCGGAAGCATTAAAATTGGCAATAGTTCCTGAACATGTGGTAAAAAAGGCTCATTGCATCAAGTACTTACCAAGAGTCTGCATATATGTGTACAGAAGCAAAGTCAACACCAAGAACTTGATGGTTCCTTATGAAGTCAGTTCCAACTTGTGTAGCATATGAATTTGGATTAAACTGAGCCCTATCAGGGGTCGAGGGACCATAAAATCCTTCCAATCCAATCTCCACCAGGTGCTTCGCATCCAGGCTCTTCACATAGACTGCCATTTCTTGTATCCAAGACTAGAGGAGAAAAATTCACTTGATTCAGGATACAATGACATTTGACAAATTCATATACCAAAAACTACAAGAATATGATAGGTATATATACTTCAACATGAAAGCTAACACACTATCAAACAGTGGAAGAAAAACAAACCTGCAGTGTGTTACCAGAAGCGTCTGAGGTGCATCGAGGCTCATTCATCAATTCCCAAGCAAAAATGGTGGGGTCATTCTTATAAGTTATGTTTGTGAAAGTATTGACTCTATTGAGCACAGCCTAAATTGCCACCAATGTCACAGAGATAAACAGAGTTAGGGCCACTGATCGATATATACAAACATTGAGTTTGGACGTGGAACATTAGTCATATATATAAGGTCTTGACAATTCCATGGAAATATCAAATTGAGAAGACACTAAAGATAATCACCTTAACATGGGCCTTATAGTAGCTTCTGAGAGTGGGATGAGAGAAGAATTCATCATCTGAAGTCAAATTAAGGCCAGCAGCTTTTCCCCATTTAACATATTGTGATTTGCCACCATATGCCTCCCAGTTGTTGGTTAATGTTAATATGAGCCTGATCTTGTACTTCTTTGCTTCACTTACAACAAAATCTAGGGCCTACAATTTGAAAAAGGGAAGTCTGATATATAATCATTGAAGAACATTGGCAATGCCTTTTCACAGAAATGGAGTAGTTTCAATGAACTTTAACATATGGATCCTTTATTAACTTGAAGTAAAAGGGCTTAAAAGAATCCAAAACCCAAAAAAGTGACTTGTTCTACTGTGAAGTTTAGCACAATTTAGTATAAGTCACAAGCATGAAAACTGAGAAACAAGAGTACCTGGAAAACTTCCTCATCATAAACTGATGGAGATTTCTGAAGAGCTCGCCACTGGCCATCGTTAAAAGCCCAAGTCCTACAAACTGTTAGACCCACAGAAGAAGCTTGTTGGAACACTTCACTGACCTTTCCCCTGGTAGATTGATCAGCAGCGAATACCATCAGCCAGTAAGTATTGAACCCATTAACATAGAAGGGTTGGCCATTAACCACAAACTGGTTCCCTTTCTTCTCCACCATTGGCCAATCATCATCGTCCTTAACTTGCAAACCATAAATCCTAAAAAAAAAAAAAAAAAATATAGATTAATTATACACCCGCATCTAAGCAGCTACTCAAAATAATAAACAAAAAAAAGAAAAAGAATGTTCCCAAATGGGTATAGTTACCTAGAACTTGTGCTACCACATGATAAATCATTCTCTGCTCCCTTCACCATTGACTCAAATTGCTCATTCTCAACACCAAAGACATTCCAACTTGAGTTGTCACTGAAAATCAAAAAAACGACCAGTGAAAAAATGAACCTGGACCCAAATTTTATGTTGTGATAATCCATGGTATCAAGTCACTAAGCAACATTTCCCATCTTCATTGGACCACATATCTATATATATATATATATCGATTTATCAAAGGTTTCTGAAGTTAAAGTAACGCAATTGTAAGAAGCAAGAAGAGTGTTAAAGAGAAGATCACTTCTCTACCTTTGAAGCAAAGAAACTTTTATTCTGTTCTCATCCATTGTCTCGTCTTTTCTGACTTTCTCTTGCAGATACAGAAAAGTCTATAGAGTTACAAGAAAGGTAGGTGAGTTCTGTACTTGGATATGTATGTAAAGATGCTGAATGTCACTCCCACGGTAAGCTAAAGTGGGTCTTGTTTTTAAACTCCCACGATTATATGGGACCCAAATAAAATTCTAGTTCAGATGTCGCAAGTCACAGAGTCAGCCTCTCTAGTCTCTAGCTCGTCTCTTTTTGCAGCTTCAGGCTACATAGTTCTTCCTTCTATATACAGTTTCCCTGTCTCTGCTAAAAACCCATTTGTAAAGTTGAGTTCTTTGCGAAGGGAGATTTAAGGAAGACGCCGAAGAGTTCCACAAGTTCAAAACCCAAAAAAGCTGGTTTTTGTCGGTTCCATTCTGTCCAGGTATGACACGTCGTTTTCTTTGATAATTTCGTAATTTGTTGGATTTGTATATAATCAATCATCTATAAATATTGCATTCAAAAATTAATTTTGAAAATTCTCTACATTACATATTTTCCTCAAAAGTATTTTGTATTTCTTAATTTCACCAAAAAAGAATTATTACAGTATATATATTGGTCCCTGGATCTCTTAATCTCAAATACTATGCCATAGACAGAATGCATGTCCATGAACTCATAAACAGAGAGAACTAGATACATTACTGAAACTTCCTAGGAAAATTCACTGCTCCCTTTCCAAAGAAAAGTTCCCAGAACCTCATCCACCAGTTTAATCACTACACAAAACCTCGCTAGATTCATAAAGTTTAAGACAAATTCTAACTTAGCGGATAAAATCAACAAGAAGGGAGAGTCAAGGTCAAAATGAGTATTTTCATGGAACATAAGTATACAGAATTTCAACTTCATAAGTTACAAAAGGCTCATGAGAACAAGAGCAGTGAAAATTGTTCATGTCCCTGCATTTCGACGTCCAACCCTTGCAACAAATCCAGTCTTTATGGGAGCTACAGACCGGACAGAACCACACTACAAAAAGATAATAATTATAAAAGGCATCATTACATCGGAAAAAAAAAACAGACTACTCTATTCAGCAAACAGTATTATTGCACAACTCATGTAGACATCACCTATTTCGTAGAATTCATGTTCCATCTTCACACTTTTTGGCAGTTGAAATTTTATACCGATAAGCATTTTGAATTATAGATAATATATTATAGGAAAACAGGGAAAAAGGGCCTAGCAGTTCCACCTACAATTTGTTCTCCTGATAAAATACCCCTACAATTGATTATGAATTCAAGAGTTGAAACACAGATTAATTGTTATTGGTTTCATTGCCAAACTAGATCACATGTTCATGCATGAAACTAATTATTGGTTCAAATATCATACATTTGTGCACCATAACTTAACTATACATGTCAGATTACATAAGATACAGACTATTGTACAGACCTGCTCACAACCGAGAAAGAAACGACGATTCTCCTTTGTCAGAATTGTATCTGGACTTCTGCAGTCATTACATATTACATATTCATCTGTAACCACAAACTAAAATTCAGGTTAATACTTAAAACAGAAAAAGCATTAACAGAAAGAGATGACATTGCTGAAAATTTTAACCTATAAATTCATCCTTATAACAACATTTTTCGAGGAAAGATAAAATACAGCTACCATGAATGATATAATTTGCAGACTACATACATTACCACACACACTCCTATTCCTTACTATCTATGGAGTGGAAAAGAAGTATGAACAATTGGCCAAAAAATGCAAAGACACTGCCACTCACATGAAAACAGTTTAGTCAGATATGTAAAATAGAGGTAAGATTACAAAACATCAGAGTTAAATGATTGTAAACTTACTTATGTATCTATGCAGAATCCCTTCAAAGTTTTTAGGAGGAAATCTGCCCTTCACTACCAATCGCTGCTGCCCATCAAGAGATCCGCTTGTCCCCATTTCAGCCAGCAAGAAGGTCATGACATCCTCTGCCTGCCTATGCATCCTGAAACAAGAGAAATAATTTCAAGAATAGAGATAAGTAACAAACTATTATCAGAGATCACAGTGAATTATAAATCATATATTTAAAAGGTGATGCTTAAACTCTTAAAATACAGAAAAATAAGATAAACTATGAAAGCAAATAATGAAAACTAAAAACCAAATCATTAATCATACGTTTTACAAAGATCCATAAAATTAACAAAAACAGTCTTCTTTGTGCCTTCTAGAAGAATTTGTGGAGGTCTCATAACAGTCCTGCGCCTATCTCCCGCAAGCTCGGGATTGTTCTCACGGAGCATATTGAACATTCTACTTAGAAGCTGCACACTCACAAGAAGCACATCCACTGTTATACATTACCACAGTTCAAAACTAGTAAACAGATGACAAACGAGGCATGAGAAATCATGATAGGAGCCCACATCCAAACACCCAAATCAAACTTTACTCTCTCTATAAAAAATGCAACAGTTCTATGCATGTCAATTGCGAGTCAATATTAAAATTTCATGAGTATGAAACCATACCTCTTCATATCTATAATCTCTATCAGTTCCTTCCCAAGGATTTTGAGACAGGGCAACCTCTTCCCCTCCTTCCTCACCTATATAATTTGGAAATGATGAATATATTGTTTGTAATTAACCGAGTTCTTCCGGAGAACATCTGCATTTTTGTAAAGTCCAATTTAAACTACTAACGGAAGGAGTTGGTAAAAAGATAAATTTTTGTGTACCCTTATCAAGTCCTCATAAAAGGAGTTGAGCAAAAATTGTCTTTTAGTGAACTCTTTGAGCTAGGAGTTTTATTATAAGAGAATGACTACATCTGCATTCATTCTTTCAGCAGAATCAAATAATTTCAAAAGGAGACCAGAAGCATTACCATCAGAATCCGATTCTGGACCGACATTTTCGTCATTGAAGAAATTAAGTTTCACCTACAGAAAAATGAAACCAGCATACACATAGTATGCATTAATATGTTGCAAATTTTTGTAGTAACGAAGAGAGTCACAAACTTACTCTCTTACAGGTCTCTTCTTCTTCTTCTTCTTTAGGCCAAAAGTGGAACTTTCTGCTCCATCATTAACTGCAATGATAAACCAATTATCTATATAAACATAAATACAAATGCCAAAAGATGGAAAACTAGTATTTTGTTTGAAAGTACACATACTTGTAAAGTTCTCTGTTTGGTCAGCCAAATTATCCACAAACTCGTCAGCTTTATCCTCAGGCTGCACCTTCTTCTTCTTCTTCTTATTCTTTTAAGTAAGATAGAATGAAGCAATCTACATAGACATAGACAAAATTAACATTAAACAATGAAAATAAACTTAGCTAAAGCCTAATGAGAATGTTTAACACTAAAGACAGGAACTTTACCTCTGATTTATCTTCCTTTACTTCCAAAGGCGTTTCTTCGGACATTTTACGTTGACCCAGAAACTCTTTCTTAAAGAATATAACAGAGACGATGAGTTCCGGTTGGGAATTGCAGGGAAGACGACAGAATACAAATGTACCAACAATTAACTCTGACTTGGTGCTTCAGCAGCAAGTGCAGTGTACTCGAAACGGCGCCGTTCATAATCTCCCTCTTTGGGGCTAGGCCCATGGCCCGTGGTTGTATACTGGGCTCATATTGTAAAGATTGATTGGGCCTTTTTTTCCATTTTAATTAGTATTTTAAAAATAGAAAATTCTAAAATTGTATATGCTTTCTAAAAACAATCTCTCTAAATATTTATATCATAATGAAAAAAAAAAAATCTTTATTTTTAAGGACATGTATTATGGGAATAATAAGGTTGGTCATATTTTTTATGGAACCGATCAATATATATTATACAAGAAAAAAATATAACCTGAATAAAAAAAAAAATTCCTGATTACGCCTCTCATTATAAACAATATTTATATATTTTTTTTTTTTGTGATTGGGGTGTCTAAACCATCTTATACGCATCTCAACTCATCCCTCAGACCTTATAGTTAATGACCAGATAAACCCTCCAATAACCACCCTTATTAGCAATCGAGAAAATCAAACCCAAAACCTCTTGAGTAATACACTTAATAGTTTTTATTGTCTTACCCAACCACTTAGGGGTGGTTGCTAATTCGTTAATGAAACCTACCACCCAACATGGATACAGAGAATGTAATGTTTGAAATGTCCTTAGCAATGAATATATAAAAGTAAAAGGCTCATTACATAAACCGATTAATCCTAATAACGTATAACCAGGATCAAATTGTTAGTTTTTGAAATTAAGGAGAAGATATTGTTATTAGCCCATACATAGGATCTGATTAGTAAATGACATAATTACCCTTCACTTATTATTTGAACCGTTTAAATTTAAATTTTGTCTGACTCATCTACTGTACTAATCTTCACCCATAACAGAGGGTAGAAACGTGAATACAGTTCATGTATCAGAGTGGAAACTTCATAAAAGACGTGAAGCTGGCACAGCCCGTATTTCACGTCTGATTGAAGCCATGGGGGCCCCTCCAAGGACGGAAATGGGGTCCACCAGTTCCTCAAAGGTCCATTCTACCCATAATAATAATAATAATATAATCAATCATAAAACCAGTTTAGGAAACCGCGTAACGCGCCTGTTTCTGTTTGTGCTGTGACTGTGATGACCAACCTGTCATCCAACCATCATCCATTACCTTTCGACAAAAACACGATTATATGGGACCCAAATAAAATTCTAGTTCAGATGTCGCAAGTCACAGAGTCAGCCTCTCTAGTCTCTAGCTCGTCTCTTTGAGCAGCTTCAGGCTACATAGTACTTCCTTCTATATACAGTTTTCCTGTCTCTGCTAAAAACCCATTTGTAAAGTTAAGTTCTTGCGAAGAGAGATTTAAGGAAGACGCCGAAGAGTGTCCACAAGTTCAAAACCCAAAAAAGCTGGTTTTTTGTCGGTTCCATTCTGTCCAGGTAGACAGTCGTTTTCTTTGATAATTTCGTAATTTGTTGGATTGTATAATCAATCATCTATAAATATTGCATTCAAAAATAATTTTGAAATTTCTCTACATCACATATTTTCCTCAAAGTATTTTGTATTTTCTTAATTTCACCAAAAAAGAATTATTCAGTATATATATGGTCCTGGATCTCTTAATCTCAAATACTATGCCATAGACAGAATGCATGTCCATGAACTCATAAACAGAGAGAACTAGATACATTACTGAAACTTCCTAGGAAAATTCACTGCCTTTCCAAAGAAAAGTTCCCAGAACCTCATCCACCAGTTTAATCATACACAAAACCTCGCTAGATTCATAAAGTGTAAGACAAATTCTAACTTAGCGGATAAAATCAACAAGAAGGGAGAGTCAAGGGCAAAATGAGTATTTCATGGACAATAAGTATACAGAATTTCACACTTAAAGTTACAAAAGGTCATGAGAACAAGAGCAGTGAAAATTGTCATGTCCCGATTTCGACGTCCAACCCTTGCAACAAATCCAGTCTTTATGGGACTACAGACCGGACAGACCACACTACAAAAAGATAATAATTATAAAAGGCATCATACACGGAAAAAAAAAACAGACTACTCTATTCAGCAAACAGTATTTATGCACAACTCATGTAGACATCACTATTTCGTAGAATTCATGTTCCATCTTCACACTTTTTGGCAGTTGAAATTTATACCGATAAGCAATTTGAATTTAGATAATATATTATAGGAAAACAGGGAAAAGGGCCTAGCAGTTCCACCTACAATTGTTCTCCTGATAAATACCCCTACAATTGATTATGAATTCAAGAGTTGAAACACAGATTAATTGTTATTGGTTTCATTGCCAAACTAGATCACATGTTCATGCATGAAACTAATATTGGTTCAAATATCACATTTGTGCACCATAACTTAACTATACATGTCAGATTACATAAGATACAGACTATTGTACAGACCTGCTCACAACCGAGAAAGAAACGACGATTCCTTTGTCACGAATTGTATCTGGACTTCTGCAGTCATTACATATACATATTCATCTGTAACACAAACTAAACATTCAGGTTAATACTTAAAACAGAAAAAGCATTAACAGAAAGAGATGACATGCTGAAAATTTTAACCTATAAATTCATCTTATAAAAAACATTTTGAGGAAAGATAAAATACAGCTACCATGAATGATATAATTTGCAGACTACATACATTACCACACACACTCCTATTCCTTACTATCTATGGAGTGGAAAAGAAGTATGAACAATTGGCCAAAAAAATGCAAAGACACTGCCACTCACATGAAAACAGTTTAGTCAGATATGTAAATGAGGTAAGATTACAAAACATCAGAGTTAAATGATTGTAAACTTACTTATGTATCTATGCAGAATCCTTCAAAGTTTTAGGAGGAAATCTACCCTTCACTAACAAGCGCTGCGCCATCAAGAGATCCGCTTGTCCCCATTTCAGCCCGCAAGAAGGTCATGACATCCTCTGCCTGCCTATGCATCCTGAAACAAGAGAAATAATTTCAAGAATAGAGATAAGTAACAAACTATTATCAGAGATCACAGTGAATTATAAATCATATATTAAAAGGTGATGCTTAAACTCTTAAAATACAGAAAAATAAGATAAACTATGAAAGCAAATAATGAAAACTAAAAACCAATCATTAATCATACGTTTTACAAAGATCCATAAAATTAACAAAACAGTCTTCTTTGTGAATGAAAGCTAACACACTATCAAACAGTGGAAGAAAAACAAACCTGCAGTGTGTTACCAGAAGCGTCTGAGGTGCATCGAGGCTCATTCATCAATTCCCAAGCAAAAATGGTGGGGTCATTCTTATAAGTTATGTTTGTGAAAGTATTGACTCTATTGAGCACAGCCTAAATTGCCACCAATGTCACAGAGATAAACAGAGTTAGGGCCACTGATCGATATATACAAATATTGAGTTTGGACGTGGAACATTAGTCATATATATAAGGTCTTGACAATTCCATGGAAATATCAAATTGAGAAGACACTAAAGATAATCACCTTAACATGGGCCTTATAGTAGCTTCTGAGAGTGGGATGAGAGAAGAATTCATCATCTGAAGTCAAATTAAGGCCAGCAGCTTTTCCCCATTTAACATATTGTGATTTGCCACCATATGCCTCCCAGTTGTTGGTTAATGTTAATATGAGCCTGATCTTGTACTTCTTTGCTTCACTTACAACAAAATCTAGGGCCTACAATTTGAAAAAGGGAAGTCTGATATATAATCATTGAAGAACATTGGCAATGCCTTTTCACAGAAATGGAGTAGTTTCAATGAACTTTAACATATGGATCCTTTATTAACTTGAAGTAAAAGGGCTTAAAAGAATCCAAAACCCAAAAAAGTGACTTGTTCTACTGTGAAGTTTAGCACAATTTAGTATAAGTCACAAGCATGAAAACTGAGAAACAAGAGTACCTGGAAAACTTCCTCATCATAAACTGATGGAGATTTCTGAAGAGCTCGCCACTGGCCATCGTTAAAAGCCCAAGTCCTACAAACTGTTAGACCCACAGAAGAAGCTTGTTGGAACACTTCACTGACCTTTCCCCTGGTAGATTGATCGGCAGCGAATACCATCAGCCAGTAAGTATTGAACCCATTAACATAAAAGGGTTGGCTATTAACCACAAACTGGTTCCCTTTCTTCTCCACCATTGGCCAATCATCATCGTCCTTAACTTGCAAACCATAAATCCTGAAAAAAAAAAAAAAAATATAGATTAATTATACACCCGCATCTAAGCAGCTACTCAAAATAATAAACAAAAAAAAGAAAAAGAATGTTCCCAAATGGGTTTAGTTACCCAGAACTTGTGCTACCACATGATAAATCATTCTCTGCTCCCTCCACCATTGACTCAAATTGCTCATTCTCAACACCAAAGACATTCCAACTTGAGTCGTCACTGAAAATCATAAAAATGACTAGTGAAAAAATGAACCTGGACCCAAATTTTATGTTGTGATAATCCATGGTATCAAGTCACTAAGCAACATTTCCCATCTTCATTGGACCACATATCTATATATATATATATATCGATTAATCAAAGGTTTCTGAAGTTAAAGTAACGCAATTGTAAGAAGCAAGAAGAGTGTTAAAGAGAAGATCACTTCTCTACCTTTGAAGCAAAGAAACTTTTATTCTGTTCTCATCCATTGTCTCGTCTTTTCTGACTTTCTCTTGCAGATACAGAAAAGTCTATAGAGTTACAAGAAAGGTAGGTGAGTTCTGTACTTGGATATGTATGTAAAGATGCTGAATGTCACTCCCACGGTAAGCTAAAGTGGGTCTTGTTTTTAAACTC